TTGATTTTTAGATTTGTTAAATACTAGACACGTTTGTAGACACGTGATGGATCCATATATATACTAAAAGCACAAATAATAGAAAGAAGAACAGCAAATGCCCTATCAGTGATATATTATACTGATGAGTAAACAAATAAGAAACTTATATTGAGTACAGATAACAAAAGCAATAGAATATAACATCTATTCATGTCTATATTGAATCAAAGAATTATTTGTTGTCTGTCGACACTCTCAGATATCCTTATAAGGTTAACTTGGAATCAATTTCGACTTCTATTATTATTATTTGAAAGTGTCTTCTTAGAAATCTAACGTTTTCTTTTTCGAACGGCATTCAATCATACTTTCTACAAAGAGGTAATTTAAATAAGACTGTTCGATTTCAATAGGAATATTAAATCGATTTATTTTTCGTATTATAACATTGAAATAATATTAACTCTATCGAGAATCGCGCTTACTTTTTTTATAAAACAATTTTCTTTGATATATAGCTGAAATAGAACGTTGATTTCTCTTTTTGATTAGATTTATATTCAGTCTTACTAATGAATTTTTACAAAAAAGTGTTATAAATTTGATTTTTTTTATAAGTACAAAAGTGCACGAAATTTTAACAATAAAAGTCATTTTTCTTCTCAATTTTGAATCCGTTTTGTTTATTATTTTTTCCACGAGAAAGTGTGATGAATCTCTTCCATCTAAAGCAATTTTCATTATTATTGAACTTACTCTTGCTGAAATTTTCGTTTTAGCACTTCTCGGAATTTATCAGATTTTTGGAGAAGATACAAAAATAAATAAAATAAAAACTATATGGTTCAATAGAGTGAATGATGCTCTATCGAACTATATCAAAATAAGAAATATTCGAGATTTTGTATAAATACAGCAAACTGAACAAAACTGTCAAAAATAACGTGATCATGTTATATTTATTCATAACGATATTAAAAAAAAATATCCAAAACTAATGTAGATCTTCTCTTCATCCGCAGTAACACTAAAGACCGTCTCAGTTTAAAAATTTTCTAATTCAATTGAATTATAATTTTTCTAGTCGTCCTAAATGTACGAGATACTTTTTTCTTGATATTTCTATTCTATGACTAGTGTAGCCTACATATTTTTCAAACAATTAGATCCCATCGAATTCGATAGACTCTATTGACGTTCTTAAAATATGGATGATAGTGTAACAGATGAACGATCTATGTGCTACTGAAGATCATAGAAGGTATACGTTAATGAATTTGAAGTTGATTCGAAACCGGATGTGTACATATATACGTCGTCAATGGATTAAATTCAATAAAACAAATTTTATTTAAAGATAAATGACGATTGAAAGTTTAAGTTAAGATATATTCGAAACTGTTGTCTAAAAATAGGCTCCACCATTTTTTGAATAACTCTTGATCACTTATAGTTATCGAGCTTGGTTTTTCGCTATTAGAAAGAGCAAGTGAGTAGACATCTATCTATATTAAATAAGGTTCGAATAAGTTTTTCATGAATGTTTTTGAACGAACATTTTTTTTTTCGTTGTCCATTTTCATGAGTTTTCACAACAATCTATGCTTAAATTATACCAAATTCTAGCCCAAAACGACTATAGATAAGACTCATCAGATTGAATATAGACGGAAAAATAAATATTCAACTTTACAATCCAGTTTAACCTTCGAACATCGTATAACTTTTTTTGTTTGATATTATTGTTGAGTATATTTTAATTTAATATCTATTTGAACTAATATTAATTTTGAAAACAATCCTAAGTAATTATCAGTTATTCTTATATGAATATGTCTTAGTAAACATCTCATCTAATGTTTTTTTCAGATGATTATATAAATATTATATAATTTAATTATCTCAAATTTCGAACTATAAAAAGATACTGATCAATTGATTAAATATTTGAAAAAATAAAAATTCTCATTTGTCACTTGATTATTTCAGCTCATAATTCTTAATTTAAGATATAAAATATTCGATAATGTTTAAAAAAATATTCAAACGAAATCAAAATAATAATAATAATATCGTCGATGAAAAAAATTCATTATCATTTATAAATCGTTATTATATATTTCTTAAAGCTCATTATTTTTTTTTATATGCAACATTTGGTTCACTTCTTCCTATATTAAATATAACATTAAGAAATCGTGGTCTTTATGATGTTGAAATATTATATATGAATATAATTGTACCATTTATTATATTTCTAACAAATCCATTATTAGGATTATTCGTGGATCGTCTTCGTCGTTTTCGTCTTATATTTAATATAATATTAATATTATCAGCAATATTTCTTAGTATTATGTTTTATTTACCATCATTAAAATCTTATTCAATTGATGGACATATTTATAAAAGTGATACAATGGAATATTCATTAACTTTTTGTTCAAATAAACAATTTGCTGTTAAATGTTCATTAAGATCAAAATGTGGATGTACTTATCAAACTTTTTGTAGATCATTAATAAAAATTAAAAATAATTTAGATAATAAACCAATAAAAACATTTCGTTTTAATTTTACAATTGATTCAACATATATTAATAATGATTATCAAAATATATCTTTAATAACAAATAATACTTCTCAATGTCTTGTTAATTATCTTTTACCAATTGATCAAACAATTAATATGTATAAAATTGATCAACCTGTAGGTAATTAAGATTTAATAATATTAATTATAGAAAAATTATTTATTTAGAAATTCATACTAATAAATAAAAATTATTTTGTTGAACTCGGATAAGATATGTGCACCATACCTAAAAATGACGCGTGCGCAGCGGCCACTGCACCAGAAGTAGGGAACTAGAGATCCATGTTTTTGTGAATCTGAATAAAGTTTAAAATTTTGAGGCGGACCTGGACTCGATCGAGTCCAAACCCGAGGTTTTTTCTATCAATACCTGGCACTCTTCGTGTACATGAACAAGTGAAGGATCTAGGTGTCAACTATTTGTTCGCTACTCTCAGAAAAAAACTCAATGTACAGTTATATCTTGTTGCGGTATTTCTCATCTGGGAAGCAGTGGATCTACAAAAACGTCTAACCAAACCCAAGAAAAAATAAAAGATTGGATCCAGATTCTAACATACCGATATATCCATGAATAGTGAGAGTCTTAAGTGAATTTAATGTAATGAGATGGATACTTAAAGTATATAATTTATCTTTGAAAAGTGAGAATATCCTCAGAGTAGATCATATGCTCACTCCCTGCAAATACCTGAAAACGTCGATTAGGGTACAACATAGAAGCGCACTCACGACTGCAGCTGAACTTGGAGCCTCACCTTCAGTCTGGTGCTTGCTTAGACGCCGGCCGATAATGGCAGCGGGAAGTCAAGCTTGCATTGTCACCTTCACCTATATCCATGGTTACATCAGTACATACATGAACAGAGTTACCAACAACTGTATACTCACCCACAGGTGCATCAATATGCAACCTTTGGAGACTTAACCACATGGTTGGAATCTCGAATACGTAGACCATCGTCCAGATCCAAATCGTTAGTGGGAAGGTAGAGTAGCAGATTCAGGCACTGGCATAGGCTCACCAACACTGGAACGCACCCATAGTCGGACTTCCATTCGAGTAGTGTCAATCATGAAAGCTGCATTGTATTGTTCAAAACTTTCAAACATACAACTATCCGATAATTCAGTAGTTGCACTACAGATATGAGAATTATTATCGTATTCCTTCCAGTTTCGTTCGTACGATGCCATATAGAATCGCTAATAGAGTTGATTAGAAGCTATGTGTAAAGATTTGTTTTAGAAAATTTCAACAGAAAATAGAAAGGTCTGATCTTTTGTACAAAATGTTCGTCACTGACAATATTATAAATAGATTCTTGGATGTCTTTCAAAGCAGAATGCAGTAAGTGAGAACAAATAATAATTAGATCGAGTTCAGTCAAAAGTCAAGCGAATCTTAATGAGGAGCATTATTTATTGTTTACGAAGAATAATTCAAAAATAAAAAAAACATTTGATTTATATTTTAAAGATTTGTTTGACGAAAATGATGGATCATCAATAAATCTCTATGATAAAATAGCAATATGTTATGTTCGATGTTCAATAGATAATATATGTTATTCATCACGTTATCCAAAACAAATTCTATATATATTATTATATATATTTTTAACTATAATTGGTCTTGTTCTTTTTGGAATAGCAACAACATTATCTACTACAATTACTTTTATTGCATTAGATAATCCAAATTTATTTGGTAGACAACGTGCTTGGGGTACAATAGGTACTGGATTAGCAGCTTTTATTGTTAGTCGACTTTATTTACATTTTAAAAAAGAATATATTTACATATTATCATTAATTATATGTACAATTATTTGTGTAATTAGTACAAGTTTCATTAAATTAAAATTTGATAAATTTAAACAATCTAAAAAAAATATTTCAAATCAATCTCTTAAAAATAAATCCAAAGATTTTTCTCTTGATAATAATCAAGGTGAAGATAATAGTACGGAAAATAATTTAACAAAAATTCAATTACTAATTCCATTATTAAAACAAATCGATGTTATAGTTTTTCTCTTAACAACATTTGTTTGGGGAACATCATTTGGTGTTCTTGATCCGGTAAGAATTTACACTCGATTTATTTTTTTAATGAGTTCAGTTAAAGATAAAAATGCCGAAGAAACCAATGATATAAATACTGCAAGGTAAAAATGTTAACAGACTTTGACGTAGTTTTTTTAATGGGTATATAAAGCGACGAGTAATTTGAATTGAATCGACTTTGAATAGGATATTGGTGTGAGTGTTGGATGTGGAATGTATGCACGTGAGAGTATAAAGTGGCGGGAAAAAGTTTTGAAACAACGGTTTTTTTCATAGTGTTAAGCACGTAGTTCCAATCCAAATAGTGATTTTAATAGCCAATGGAGTTTTCCATCCAACACACTTTATAGCAAGATTTCATAGATGAACAATGATGGCAATGCTTCTAAAAAACCGAACACGGCAGTATCCGACACGGGTCGGGCCACGATATGCTCGGGTCGGGTCAGATCATGCTCGGGTCGGACCGGGTCGGGTCTTATTTTTCTGAGCTCGGGTCGGGTCGGGTCACAAAAAAAGTGACCCGTGTCTGGCACTGGAACACGGTATTATTCAGGTTGTAGAAGGCTTTGCTAGAGCTATTTTTGAACGGTGCTATATTAAAGGACACAACATTCTGAGCAAAATGAAGAATCGCCGAGTTTTCTACGAACTTCTCGTAAAAAGTTACAAGCATCACAAAAATCATGAAAAAGGCATTTTTAGTCGATTTTTAAAAAAATTTCGTTTTTTCATGATTTTTGTGACGCTTGTAACTTGTTATGAGAAGGTCGTAGAAAACTCGGCGACTCCTCATTTTGCTCAGAATGTTGTGCTCTTTAAGATGACATCGTTCACAAATAGCTCTGGCAAAGTCTTCTACAACCTGAAAAATACCGTGTTCGGTTTTTTAGAAGCCTTCCCATCATTGTTCATCTGTGAAATCTTGCTATAAAGTGTATTGAATAGAAAACTCCATTGGCTATTAAAATCACTATTTGGATTGGAGCTATGTGTTTACATTATGAAAAAAACCAAAAAAGAAAATCATTGTTTCTAAACTTTTTTCCATCACCTTAGATGTTGTTGTGATTTTAGGTGTCAACGTAGGTATGGGTCTGTATATGAGTGTAAATGGAATGTAGATACATATAAAACGAAGATAAGTCTCAGCACGAACTTCAAAAATCAGAACCTCAACTCATACTCATCATTTGTCACTGACATTCTCATGAATAATATCTTGAAGAACATCTGTTAATGTTTCTAGCTTTTAACTTTCGAATTTTTTGATATTTTTGCTTTACGACTTAGAAAATCGTTGAATAGTTGTAACGACTACTACACTACTAGATACATTTGCGTACTTCTCAGTAGCTTCATGGTAGTTAAAAAAGAATTGATTATAGTTGTCAACAAAACAGCTTTAATTTATAAAATTTTATGAAATAAAGTCTTTAATATCCTTCTACTTGTCCTGTGTTTAATGATAGACATTGAGTTTTTTGTTAGTTAATGAATTATTTTTAAATAATAAATCAGATAAATAGAAATAAAATTTAAACAAAAACTAAATAATTTGTTTAATATATATTATAGTTTGTAATATTACATATTGATGAAATATCTCCATGTCAATCTCATTCAATAGCAGGATATATGTCATTATTAACATCATTAATCGAACTTCTTGCTTTAGTTTTTGCTCGAAAAATTCTTATAATTCTTGGTAAAAATAAATGTTCAATGTTAATATTTATTGCATTTTCAATACGTTTCTTTGGTTATTATTCAATTGTTCGACCTTATTTTATATTAATTGTTGAAACAATGCATTTTTTTAATTTTGGTATATTATATGTATTTATTTGTGAAAAAGCTCTTAATATTGGTGGTTTTTTTTTAATTAAATTTTCATTGATTTTTTGTTATAATTGTTGTTTTTTTGTTGTCTAGCTCCAAATGGTCTATCAGGAACACTTCAAGGTTTAGTTTATGGAATTTGTTTTGGTTTAGGTATTCAATTTTTACAAAAACAAAAAAAAAAGAAAATTTCTTATATATGATTATAATATAGGTCGTGGTGTTGGTCTAATTATGTCTTTATTAATTTCAATGTGGTTAAATAAACGACGTCTATTTTTAATATGGTCGATATTCAATTTAATAATGTGTATTTTTTATTTAATATATTATATACTTAATAAACGAAGAAAAGCATCTGTACTTAATTTCAAGACCAATAAAAATAATTTATCTGAAAATATTTTGCGAGAGTCGGGTAAAGATTTTTTTTCTTTTTCTAAATTAATTTATATAGAATAAAATAAATTCTTTTTTTTTAGAATTAAATCCAACAGAAAAAATCTTAAAATAATGATGATCATAATTAATAAAGGCAAATAAATTACATTAAAATTCAAGACAAAAAAAAATTATCATTAAAAATTGATTGAGACTTAAATGAAATATTCAAGCACATATATTATATTTACAAGCTTTTTATCATAAACAAGATTTTCATTTACTTGTCTTTTTTTTATTAAATTAAAAAAATATAATATGGAAATGAAACATTTATCTATTTATAAATTAACCTTATTTAATAAAAAATTACACTAATTTTCTTTTGTTTTATATAAATAAATTATTTAACTGTCTCATTATTATAAGAAGATAGAGAGGATGTGCATGCGGAATAACAGAAGACCGACATCCGCCTTTGTTTTAAAGTTATTCAAAAAATACTCACGTAACTTTGAAATGGACATCAGTACTTTTCAGGTGCTTCTTTCACTGTATTTATTCGAAGGACCTTTATACTAACTGAGAAAGCCTTTGAAACACCTACTTGAATACTAGTTGGAAAAGTTTCGAAAACGTACTTGAAGAAAGTGTCGAAAGACTTTTTGGAAAAAATCGTTGAAAAATATTTCGAGGATACGTGAAACTTACAAGGAGAGTGATTGAAAAAAGTATTTGAAAAGTAGTGAGAATAGATATTTGAAGTGTTCTAGGAAAAAGTACTTGAGAAATACTGAAAAAGTGAAAAAATCCTTAGATACACGAAAGTTGGAATTTTTATTATGGATTTTATTTCAACATATATGTTACACATATAGTCATTATAGAATAGTCTAGATAGAATATAGATAAATTTAGGTCGGTGTAGTTTCATTAGCATATTTGCTTTATAAAGCCAATGCCGGAAAGAAACTTATAGTGCTTCGAAATCCATAATACAGGATGGGCCAAAAATCACCGAGCACTCTTTTATTTCGAATAACTTTTGATAGGATAAAGATAAAAAGCTGTGACTTTCAATATTCAAAACAGGGTCTGTTACTACGAAGTTCTATGTATTATTCAACAATATAGATTGTTGATCTGTTAGTGATCCTTAGCAAGATTTTGATAACTCTATGAAAAGGACAACTCACGATTTACGCTAACGCCAACAACCGAACCTTTTATCTTCATTCGACAGAGAGTTTTAGATAGCGACAATGACGAGCGTGATGCATTAAACTTCGATTAATCTTCATAGAGCTACTAGTATTTTACCGAAGACTACTGACTGATTACCATGACAACAAGCAGTTCTGTTGAATAGTACATGGAATTACGTAGTAACAGAGCTTCTTTTGAATGGTGAAAGCCGCAGGTTTTTATCTTGATCGTATCAAAAGTTATTCGAAATTAAAGATTACTCAATGACTTTTGAGCCACCCTGCAGGTCGTCCTGTACTGACTTATCAATCGACTAGATTTATTACTCGACACTTTCCATCTCTTGTACTTCACACAACAAATAGAAAAACTCTTCAAAAAATGTGTGATGTATTTACATATACTAGTCATAATTTCATAGTTTATTACGTTTTTTGCATTAATGTTCCTTCTCATATGTTATTGAATTGTTAGTGTATTTTGTTTCTGTTGTTTCAAAATAAATATCATCTATCTTTAGCATTAAATTTTGATGAAAACAAAATATGAATGATAGTTTCCAATTATAATTGATTTTGTAAGCGAAAATCCAACTTTTAAAAAGTCAGTCCTCAAAAGGTTAAAGTGAATGCATGAAGTAACTGAAGAGTAAATAAGAAAACCGATTATGACAAGTTAACTGATACACTAGATTATGATAGTTGGTGCATAGCTAGCTAATACTGCACATCATAGTTTATAAAAACAAAGACATCATTTCATTTCTTATTCGTTTTATATTATAAACATTTTGTACTCTAATATTACGATATAAAAGAGTGATTCATATAAAAGATAATTAGTGATGTTTATGTATATTAATAACTACGACCTTGAATAACGAAATAGATATAAATAGATCATATATTATACAACGTCAATAGTGACTTAAGCAAAATAAATATGAATATCATGTCATGTCCACAATAATGTTGTCATTTAATTATTTTAGTAATATGTCAGAATCAAAATTGTATAATAATTTTCATAGAATGAAATTCTTTTCTTTATTTTTATGATTCAAAAAAAAAAAAAAATAAAATAAAATCTATTTCATATTTTATCCAAATTCAAAATCATCTTTAATTAACAATATATATTTCAATTGTTGAAATTTAAAATATGTCTTAAAAAAAAAGGAAATACAATTTAACTGATTTAAATCTATACAAACATATTTCTCCCATTGGCTTATTCTTGTTTGCAAGCAAGTGTATAATTAATTAAATCATCGAAAATCATTGCAAAGTGTCAAGAGCTACGACACCGTAATGAAAAGTTATGACAAAATCATGAAATGTTATTTGATAACGACAATATTATTAAAAGATAATAAAGTCATAAAAACTTTTCTTAACTTTCTCATCTCATCGAAGACTTAGTAATAGTATTAGATTGTAAACAGGAATAAATCTTTCCATTGATTTTCTACCATATTGTCTATTCTAGAGAGCATAAGTTCTTCTTACAAGAACACAAACCTATGTAAAGATGAAATTACATATGTTCTAATTGACATTTATTCGTACTGAATGAACTTTTTTTTTGTAGAAAGAGCAATATTGTATTTCTAACTATCTTTAACA